CTCGGCGGGGTCGCAGCTGCCTCTGGAAGGCACCGAGAGGTACAATAGTGCGCAAATGGTCAAATCAAGGTTTTGTAACGCGAGTCGCGAGCTGTGACACAGTGAAATGGAACTAGCAACCAAGTAATACAAAAGTGAACTCCTCATCCACGACAGACCCCCCGCCCCCCTTCCAGTTCTCACGACGCCCAACGTCCTCCAGCCGATAAAGAAAGAAAGAAAGAAAACGGACAACCCAAGGGAGGGATGGGAGGACGGCACGCCGCCACCACACAGGGATTTTAAGGAGAGGGGTGTGGTGCGCTACTGTAGCGTTAGCATCGCGCCGTGTTTCCCCACGCGCAAACAAAGGCCAGAGTCGCGCGGGTTGCAGCTGGCATTCTCTGCTCCAGAGCATTCGCAGACGCCGCACCACCTCATTAATCAGGCAGTCAGTGCCCCAACTCATTAATCAGGCAGTCAGTGCCCCAACGTCGAGCCTCTCCCGCTCAGACCTCGCGGCCCGCGCCACCTGAACGAGTGATGCTACTTCCGGCCCTGTGGCCTCTTGCTCACCCCACGCGTTTGTCTAGTGTATCGCGCGCCTTGCGGGGGGAGCGCCTAACGGAGGAACCGGCGAGGCGCAGCGCAGCACCAGCTCCCCCACCTCCTTCATCCTAAGCTTCAGCTCCCCCACCTGCTCCTCCAGCTCGGCATTGGAGGGGCGCTTCGGCCACGGACTTGGCATGCCGCCCCGCGCCTCCTCCTCGTCGGGCTCCACGAGCCGCTTGTGAGGCGGCTTGCGCCGCCGGCAGCAGCAGCGGTAGAAGCAGAGCGCCAGGAAGAGCCACCCGGCTACTCCCAGCGCCAACACCAGCGGGGAACTGGCGAAGATGGCTTGGCCAAGTTTAGCTTCAGCGAGATCGCGAAGGAGGGGGGGGAGAGCACTCGGAGTGGATGTCCGGTTCCGGTCGTCCAAGTTTAGCTTTAGCGAGTCGCCAAGGGGGCGCAGGCTCCACTCGCGCACCGCGCTCCCGTGTTCGGCGACCTTCTGGGCCCACCGCTCAGGGAGCAGCGCGCCCAGCTCCTTCTCCAGCTCCTTGAGGACCACCGTCCCGTCGAGCTTCTCTACGAAGTCGGCGTAGAAGGGTGGGGGTGGGGCGAGCGGCGGCGGCGGCGGCGGCGGCGGCGGCGGCGGCGGCGGCGTCGGCGGCGGCTTTGGCGGCGGCGGCGGCGGCGGCGGCGGCTTTGGTGGCGGCGGCGGCGGCGGCGGCGGCTTTGCTGGAAGCGAAAGAGGCGGCGGCGG